CCTACTCTTATTTCATATTAATATTTTGAACATTACTTAAAGGATCAACTAGTTTTGTTTCATATATTAATTATTACTAGAAACGATCAACGAACCGATGGTTAATCATTGATGGTTTCACAAGTAAGTAACTTCGGTTTATTAATGCACGGTCGTGGTTAATAAACTTAAGAGGGATTAATTTAGTTGGTTAAACCGAAACCGCTTGTGTTGAGGTTATCAATCTCAATTGATTTCATCAAGGAGTTAGAAAGATTAAATGCTACTATTAAATCGGTATAAGGCGTTGTTCTATATTTGATTAATAGTAAGGGTTATTAATGAACGGTCGTTGTTAATAACTACCCTCGATGAAGTGGATATACTCCCCGATTGAGTATTCGAGAGGGAATAAGTTATAGATATAACAAAGATCGACTAAAATATATCAACAAGTGGAAAGTAGCAATGCCAAGTCCTTTTTATCTTTGAATTAAACACATATAGGTTGTTCATCTTCGTTCTTAATTAAATTAAATCACTCAATCCAAATCCCCCTTTTTATTTACTAAGTATCATAAAAAGAGAATTATTCTTTTCCCTGTGGATACGAACTTTACTACACTATACTACGTATAAGTGTTTAGTATTGAATTTATTTTGACGCACCGTGACAAAGTGCTCGTCAGGATCGTAGTGGGGTTGGTCGTGAGGTGGAGCTGGAATATCTTCAAGAATTGGAGGGGCTTGTTCTTGTGCGGGTTCATCTTCATGGTTTTGAAAATATGGTGGGATGGCTGGAGGGAGGCAATAGTGGTGCACAAGAGGTGGTTCTAATCAGAATGGAATAGTGGGTAGCCCATCGGAGGGGATCGTGAAGTAACGAGTGGGTTTCGGGAAGATGGACCATTTGTAAAAGATTTTTCCCTTGTAATCACGATGAGAGAACTTGATGTCCTTTGAATTGCCCAGATGTGTTATGTCAAAAAGACAGAATTCGGCTATTGGTGCATTGTCTACCTAACCGAATTTTGTAGCTATGTGGAGAATAACGCCCCCTATCCAAATTTTTCCTTGGGCGGTGCATTGTTTATACAGATGTTCCCACATACGGTTCACAATGTTATAGTGGAAGGGAGGTATGTCAAACAGTGCTTTGACTAGAATACATATATCACCTATTCGTGCTTGGTGATTGTTGGGGCGTCCAAACACAAAGCTAACCAAGTATTTCAAGAAAAATGCGTAGCACTGGGTGTTGGACATGGGTTATGACAAGATTTTTGGAGCTAAAGGTCATTTCCCCCGTCATTTTTTTCCACAATTCAAAGCCATACCCGGTGTCGGGCTCTTGGGCGTTTTGTGGTGGCACGGGCAAGCCAAAGTGCTCCGCAAACTCACGTTTTGTTATGGAATGTGTTTTATTGAATAAACGAAACGTGAGTTTATCCTCCCTATCATCATTATCATCTTTGATTCTCTCAACGGAACCCAAGAATTCATACACAAGTTCATCATTTGGGTTATATTTCAACCCAAAAATTTTGCTCATTCCCAACAATTCACCTAATTGAAGCATCATAGCAAGAATTCCTAGCTCATCCAAAGTATTCATACACAAAAAACGGGAATGATGTACCTCTCTTTTAGTTTGGGCCAAGACTTTTTCCCGGTGAGCCGATGAGGTGATGATGATGTTTTCAAAGCCGGGAACCGGTGCTCTTGAAGAAGAACTTCTCCTCTTGTCCTCTTTGTTGCCATTTTTGCTAGAAAACTTGGATTTTGGGCTCCAAATTTCGGACTTTTATGTGGTGGGGTTTGGTTTTTCGGACTCTACGAAATTGGGAGAGAATGTGGTGTTGATGGGTATGGGTGTGTAGAGGGGGATGTGGGGAAGATTTTGGTGGTGGTTTGGAGGGATTTGGTGGAGAATTCAGGGAGTAATTTGAGATAGAAGAACCGGCTATGGAGGTTTGGGGAGGGTTTGGTCGGATTTGGGGAAGGGATTTGGGAAGAAGAAGGGACTTTTCGAATTAAAATGCTGAGTAATCCCGCTTACCCGATCGGGTACGTTGTCACCCGTCGAAGCCGTCAAAGCTGAAATCCTTGCCAGATCATGAACCTCCCAACCTCAACCGTTGTCAACTGCGCAATCAAAGATGCCATATCGCCAGATTTTGTGGTAGTTCCATTCTTCAAGCACTTCTACATTTTTTTTAGTTTCGAGCAATTTTATAGTTGTACATATATATATTACTCATGTGTAAATTTCACTCACAATGATAAATACTTCGCATTTTTGTTATATTAATTGTATTGTATGTAATTATGCTTTAAGCTTGAAAAATCAGCATGTAAGGTTGAACTTTTCAAAGTATAATTTACGATGTATATTCCATTTAAATTTTGTGCAGGAACTTTATTATATACAGAGTATTTTATTGTAAGTATTGGCTATTTAAACTGGGTTCTATTCGTCCATTTTTTTTACTATTTGGTATACTTCCGACGAAAATAACTATTGCTATAAGTATTTTATTGATGTATTTATTCAGAAGATAGCGCCGGTTGTTTCCATTGCTAATAGGGACGGCTTTATTCCATCAGAAATGTGTTGCTGTTTAAAAAAAACCGTAGCAAATATCGGTCGGTAACTTTTCCAACCACGCTATTTCGATGGATTTTTTCCGTAGCAGTTCCATCGCTGATTTTGTTTCTGACGGGAAAATATGATTTTCCTGTTCCTATTTGCGTCGTTGATTCAATGTTTTTTTTGTAGTGTTTGCGATCCAAGGAAGAAACTACCAAAATCATCATGACGTTCATGAGGACCATACAAAACTATCTACAGCAGAACTTGAAGATCACAAGGACAGACGATGGGACTGAGTTCAAAAACAAGGAAAAGGCTTAATTATACGAAGCTTAGGGAATTACGCAACAGTTCTCTGCAGCTAAGACACAACAGCAGAATGGTGTTGTAGAAAGAAGAAACAGAACCTTGGTGGAAGCAGCCAGAACCATGTTGATACAGTCAAAGCTTCCTCATTTTAAAAGTATCGTTTAATATGTTTTTAATTGAGATTGATCACTGCGTTGAAGATTTAGAGGATCAGCTGTAGCATGATGAGTTGCTCTAGAACCCAGAAACCAAGTCTGAGTTTATGAAGCAGGGCCAAGAATTGATGAATTTTCATAGGTCCAAGCAGCTGAGGGTGGAGGTATCGTGATTTTGGAAAAATTGGTTGTTGAACCCAACAAAATCCTTGTGTAGGTTAATTCTCGAACCATAAAAATTTGGGAGAACTATCAAATAAGCCCTCGAACTTTCATAAAAAGTGCAAATAAGCCCTTTTATAGGAGGCTTTGTCCTTCTGTCGTCATTTGGGGCGGTTTCCGGTGGAAGATTTTGATGAAATTTTTTGACCAACTTATTCATTGAGTCTAGTTTACCCATACCGAATTTCAACTAAAAATTCAATGGAGAAGGCAGTCAAATGATTTTCTGAAATATACTGCGCTGTCTAACTGCACAGTTATCTTCAAAAATTCATTTGACTGCCTTCCCGATTGAATTTGTATCTGAAATTTGATATGCGTAAACTAGACTTAATGAAGAAGGTATTAAAAAAATTTCATCAAAAAATTCCACCAGAAACCACTCCAAATGGCGGGTGCCGAACAGAGTCTCCTATAAAAGGGCTTATTTGCACTTTTTATGAAAGTTCGAGGACTTATTTGATAGTTCTCCCTAAAAATTTTGATTTAGTATATTAGTGAAACTTGAGACAAATTTGGTGGAACAGGAATAGACGGAATCTGAAATTTAGGTTGCGGAAAACTGATTGTTGGAGGCATAATTGGGATGATAAGTTAGTCGCCTATTCCCATGTCCTTGAGAATCGGAAGACTTGTATGGATAAGCCCGATTGAATCTATGATAGCAAGTAAACTAGGGCGCACTTCATGTCTGATTTTGCCAAAAACTTGGCAGATGAGTGAAAAACGACCACTGGGAGCGACCTCCTTCTCAGCTCTAAAGTTTACTTGATTTGAATTCCACAACCACGACCACGCTAATGATTGCCGGCCACCATGAATATTATTGTTAAAATGTGCGTATTGAACAAAAGAGTTTGCTTGAGATTCCATTGCGCCTTACCGCATGGTCAAGAGAGATGTGAGAATATATAGAAGACACAAGAGATTCATATTATTTTGGAAGTCCTTCAAGAATCACATTTACATGATCCTTTGCATGATCATTTGCTTTCGTCTTTTTGACGATTAAATATTGTTTCGATTGTGTTTCCATTTTTTCGATCTGATTTCCTTTTTTTTTCCCAAACCATACAATATTCCAAGTCTATAACCCCCTATATGTATACGTAGTACGTATTATCTTGATGCGTATAGCTTACTACTCCATACGTCTTCTTTGTATCATCTTTGGTATTTCCCCCCTATAATGTGGTTGCTATTAGTTCCTTCTAATTCTAGATCTCATTTATTTATACATAATCTACGTAATAAATTAATTAAATACCTAACGGCACGATATAATTCCCAAAAGTCAAACGGGGAACATAAAACGAACACGGAGTGGGTAAGTAATAAATTGTAATTACTGTGCATTTAGGAAAGTAGCTAAAAGCTGGCTAAAAGCTAGCTATAAAACATCCAAATTAAATTTGGACGTATAGAAGTTAAGACATACTTCCTCCATTCTTTTTTAAATGAAGCATTATACTTTTTCCACTATTCACGTGTTCTACTTTGACTTTATTTTATTTATTAATGTATTATAAATTAAATTAAAAAAAATATATATTGTTAAATTCTTCTCATTTCACATTTTCAAAATCTAAATTTTTTACTAATAAGAAATGAAAGATATGAATGATCAAACTTGTGCGTTGGCAAACGTGAAAAGTGGACCATTGCATTTAAAAAAGAACGGGGAAGTATATACTAGTAATTATCTACCTATATATATGGTGTAGTACTAAATAACTCATCCTATGTTATCTCATTTGTAACGTTCCTAACTACGTACAACAAATATATATATTGCCTTCAATTGAAATCAATTAAACTATATATATATATGGCGGCTAAGCAAGAGCTTTGCTCCAATTATGTTATGCGGAAACCAGAAGGAGCAGCTGCTAGCTTCTTTAGTTTCCTGGGGTTCTTGATCTCATCTGACCGGTTGAAAACCCGAGACCTTTTCGATTCTCCGGCGGAGACCGCCACCGGGCGGTTGAGGTTCCGTACCCGATTCCTCGTTCTCGTCTCCGTTATCGTTAAAAATGTTCTCATTTACTTGAAAGCGCCGTTGGCATGGTTAGGATCCAGCTTAGAGATCTTTCTCAACTATCCTTCCTTTAACGGTGGTTATGTCCGCCTCATTCTCAATTTTCTTACAGGTATGTACGTAGCTATATTGCCATGCATGCAATTACGACAATTATTTAATTAATTATCGTGCATTCCTGCTAATAACTCCATCGCAAATAAGTGTGTACATAATTAAGATCTTCGTGTTGAAGTGATATATTGCACAGTTACAGCTCCATAATTCTCCGGGTGTTTTAATGGGACTGATTTCAATGTACTTACTATAAGATCGATAATTGTAAAATATATACACACGTCATCCAAAACAGAAGATACTACACCAGACTTAAACATATAAGATCACACAGGACTATTTCAGTTAATTGAAAACATCTCTCATAAGGTGAAAGTTGAAACCATAAGAGCCTGAGAGTTAACTAAAATTACCAAATTGATAAACATAGCCGATTAGGTTACACTAGAATCGGCTGAAATTGTTAAATGGATGTAATTCTAAATGAAGTGCCTAAATTAGTTGAATCTGCAAAATTGTGAAAAAAATATATTTAAAATATACTATGTATTTTACAAAAAAAAAAACTATACTTTGTATGAAAATAGCTAATAACATGGTCATCTACAATAACTCATCAACCAAAATAGGGGTTTATTTTGAAAGCTTACTTCTTGTCAAATATTTAATTTTTTTATTTTGCATAGTGAATAGTATGCTCATAGAAGTGTGGTCACATTATTCGACGCGTAAAATACAAAATTACAGTCCATATTTACCAAATAGCTATCTTGAGCCCACATTTTATGATGATAAATGTGAAATGTATAGTAATTTTTTTTACATTTCCATAATGACACATCATTTTGGATCAAATGGAAGGGTGCAACTCAAAAAACATGTCAATAAATTGTTTTAACCAAGCACGTATGTATGTTTCTAATACCCAATTAATTTAAATAGTTAAACAAAAAGAGAGATACATATAGCCACGGTCCACGTCCTTATGTCGGAGTATTTTCTCACGTACGTTCAAAGTTACATGCATGCATCGCTTCCCGCTGAACGTGGAACTATGGCCAATATAATGAGGTTCTGTTTTTGGTAAAATTTCCTAAACATCATACAAATTTTCAAAATAAAAGTATTATACTTCATCCTTCCACACGACTTTGTCAACTTACCTTATAGTTTGTCACAAAAATTTTATCACTTTTCTTTTTAAACATATAAATATGTGGCTGTTCATTTCTTTCTCTTCTGTACAAATCTCAATTACACACTTTTTTCTTTTCTTATTTCATACCCAATATAAAATTGTTAACGAACGTTGAGTGGGATGAAGGTAATACTAGTACTGTAGTATTTTTTTTTTCTCCAAATAAATACGGAGTAAGATTTAGTAAATCAGTTTTATCCTGAAATCACTGACATATTTTGGGGTTATCAAGGATTAGTATTGCAATAATAATGTCATACGGAGTAATTGATAAAAATAATATTTTCTAAACATTACAACAATGAAACATATTCTATGAATGATTATTCAAAAATAATTTTATGAATGATTTTTAATTTGCTTCAGTGATTGTGCATGGGTTTTCAGGGAACATGGTTATGCCGGAAACGACGTCGGAGAATTTCAGATCGTTTCTGGCAATCCTGGACAAGAGGTTTAACTTGGACCCCGATATCAAGAATGGCGACAGCCGATATACACCACTTTTATCTGTCATGGCTGCTAAGCTTTCGTATGAAAACAAAGCCTTTGTTCAAAAAGTAATCACCAATAACTGGAAGGTGATTTTTTTTTGACAAAACTGGAAGGAAATTTATGAACTGAAAGTAATTAGTCCGAGTGATTAATTTCATTAGTTTATGGAAATTAAGTATTTATTATAGCACCTAAGAATTTAAGGTCGTAATTATCATTAGTCGTAATAATCGGATGATATATAAAATTGGCGCGTGTGTTTACCAATTATATTAGCAGTTAATTGAGGGTAATCAATAACGGATTGTGTCAGGAATTATATAACATAAAAAATACAGATTTTTCGTTTGGCAAACTTCCCGAAATAGAACCAAAACGGATTCAAAATTCCAAAATAAGACTGTCATATTTTTTATTCCCAAAAAAGGACTAATTATTGTCATGTTTAGAAAATACTGTCATGTTTGAAGTCTGATACTGCCAAAAAATGGCAATAATTAGTCCTATTTTGGGAATAAAAACATGGCAATCCTATTTTGAAATTTTCAAACGGTTTTAGTCCTATTTCGGGTAATATCTCTTTTCTTTTCGTTTTTAGATTTGCTTCGTATATAACATAAAATTTTCAAAAAGTCCTGTTTTAAAATTAAAAAACGTTTTTATTCCTATTTCATTTTTTTAATTATAATAATATAATTAAGTATTTAGGTTATTGTTACTACGTACTCCGTATTATTTTGATTAACCTCGATCTGGAGTCATTCTTGAATGTATGTGGATGGACCTTCTTTACAATATTCTATTTACTTTTTTGTTTTGTTTGAACAGATGGATTTTTTGGAGTTCAAGAATTTCCAATGCGGTAAAAAAGAACACTCCCTCTGGCACAAACACACAGCTGCATTATACACAATATTATATAGTTGCAAATTATTAACACAATTATTTTCATTTATTTGTTTTTATTTTTCAATTTAATTAAATATAAACAAGTACTCCGCAAAAGCCACGGCGTGGCCTAGTTTCAGTTTTGACCCATGACCAAATACGAAACCAAAGTAAAAAGTTTGATTCGTTTTCGATTTGGTATTGCATTTCAAAACTTGAAACCACGGTTTGATTGGTTTGGTTTGTTTTGGTTTAGTTTTGGTTTTTTCTCATTTTTTACTAAAAAATATCATTTGATTTAAAATGATACGATAGTTGAGGGAAAACAAATATTCGGAGTAAGAAAAACATATATAACGGAGTATTACATCAAAGAATGCAAGCATGCTACAACAAATATAATAAAATAAAATAAAATAAAATAAAATAAAATAAAATAAAATAAAATAAAATAAAATAAAATAAAATAAAATAAAATAAAATAAAGAGAAAAAATTATGTCTAGAAGAATATGAGTGTGCGTGAGAGCAAACATGTTTTTCTAGTTTCTTTAGAATAAAAGTGTATATATTCTTATTTTACATTTCTATGACTAGTTTGAACAAAGTTCATGAATATATATATACTCATACATTTCTATTATAGACATACACACACACACACACACACACACACACACACACACACATATATATATATATATATATATATATATATATATATATATATATATATATATATATATGAGTCATTCTCAGGTCCGAACGTTCGGACCTGAGGCGCCATCTGAACACCGCCATTTGGGGCGGTTCCCGGTAGAATTTTTCGATGCAATTTTTATGGTATGTTCTTCATAAAGTCTAGTTTATCCAAAAAAACATTTCAGCTCAAATTTTGATCGGGAAGGTCGCCAAATAATTTTTGGAAATTAATTGCGTTTTTCTATGTATAATTTTGCGCAGTTAACTTCCAAAAATTATTTGACGGTCTTCCTTATCGAATTTTGAGCTGAAATATTTTGTGGATAAACTAGACTTGATGAAGAACATACCATAAAAATTTCATCTACAAATTCCACCGAGAACCGCCTCGAACAGCGGTGTTCGGATGGCGCCTCAGGTCCGAACGTTCGGACCTGAGAATTTTCCTATATATATGTGTGTGTGTGTGTGTGCGCGCGCGCGTGTGTGCGCGCGCGCGTGTGCGCGCGCGCACGCGCATGTGTTCTAAAAGGTATAATTGAGATAAATATTTGTTTATTTCTTGTTTATTTCGTAAATATAAAAGTTTTAAGTAACATAAACACATTACCATTATTATTTATACATTTTATTTAATATTGCATTTATTATTATAACATTCCTTTTCAATAATTAATAATTAGTCATTGTTTTCCACCCACCCCAACAACCACCACCACCCGTGCCGTCACCACCACTATCATCACCACCACTCTCACCACGCCGTCATTAGTCACTGAACCGCATTAGTGACTACCTTCTATGTCACTGAATCTGAGTGACTGCTGCCACCGCCATTAGTCACTACATCTTCTAGTGACTGCTGCCACCGCCATTAGTCACTACATCGTCCAGTGATTTCATGCTCAACAAGGCTCATCCAATGACTCCATCGCCCCTATGTCCTATGACCTATGTTTTCCGGTGACTCTGTTGCATGACCACCACCAAGTAATCTCCTGCCAAACTCATGTTCAGTTACCTCCACTCGACACCCAGTCACTAATATAATGACACTGACCTGCCCCACTGTCGTCTCGATGCCGACCATAAAGTCGGGAAACCGTAGACACTGTCCACCCTCGCTCTAGCACTAGCCTTTCCTTACCACGTTCCCTGTCCAGATCCCCACCCTTACCCTTGTCCATGACCCAGCCCTACACTGCCTCAACCCCGTGCCACTGCTCAGTGACCCACGCCACCACCCCGGTACTCCCCACCATCCCCGCCACCCTATCCCACCCCATCACTGCGCCACCAGCCCATAATTGCCTCACCAATCTAAACCCATGCCATGCCCTAGGATCTAAATCCCCATCCGTGAGCCACCATCGAATGCCGGACCCATCAAAAACGCTGGCCGCGTCCTTTGATTCCTACCATTCTTCACCGGTGGGTTTCAATCGTTGATAGAATAAGAGAAGAAGAGAAGTTGTGGTAATGGCGCTCGAGAGATGAAGTTGTGGCGGACACTGGTGAGATACGAAACCATGGCTGCCGAGGAGTGAGAGATGAAGCGGCCAGGGGCGGACTGTAGTACAGACCCCAAAAAATATTTTCGCCCTCCCAAAAAATATTTTGAACCCCCCAAAAAATATTTTCGCCCCCCCCAAGATCACTTTCCTGGGTCCGCCCCTGGCTGCGGCGAAAGAGATGGCCGGTAGGTGAAAGTTGGTGTTGCGGCGGTGGACCTTTGGTGAGAATGGAAGAGTCGGTCAACTATCTTGGAGATTTAGGGTATATTAGGAGTTACTCTTGGCAATTAAATGAGTCACAGTAATTTAGGAGTTATTCAAGGCAATTTAATTAAATGAGTCACTTTTTTGGAAAATGTAAAAGATGTCATATTTTTTGAAATGGAAACACTAGAAGTACGTAATATATGTAGTAAGTGCATTTCTCAGTATAACTATGCATGCATAAAAAATGATGCGAGGTAAATTTAACTATTGAGTCTATTTCAATATTAACTCCCAGTGACGGACCCAGAAAGTCGGAGTTACGGGGTCCCTACCCTTTTATATCTCTAATATGTAATTAATACGTAGTATAAAACTAAGGTCGTTTAGAAAATGAATTGACATAAATAACCGTTCGTTTAGAAAATTAATAATCGTTCGTTTAGAAAAATAATATTTATGTCACAGATAGAAAAATAATATCCTATCATTATAGTATGTTTACTCCAATAACTTTCTAAACGAACGGTTATTTATGGCACCTTATAATAATAAATAGGGAAAATAACTTTAAACAATACAAACTATCTTCGATGAACCAATAATAATACATACTTTAGTGTAGAACAAAAACAAAATATAATGGAGTCACTTTTTAAAAAAAACACTAATTTAAGACATTAAAAACTAATATCGAACCGATAAATAATATTCGAAAATACGCTTACTAACTTTATATTTTGATACCAATTTTTTATGAATTAAATGACTAATGTTTTAGTAAAGAATTGCTATGTATTAGTGTTAGTACTATTTATGTTGTTTTCCATTGCCAAAAAAAGTTGTTTTCCTTAATATATAGGGGAAAAACAAAAAGGTCGTTTAGAAAATGAAGTGACATAAATAACCATTCGTTTAGAAAATTAATAATCGTTCGTTTAGAAAAATAATATTTATGTCTCAGATAGAAAAATAATATCCTATCATTATAGTATGTTTATTCCAAAAACTTTCTAAACGAACGGTTATTTATGGCACCTTATATTAATAAATAGGGAAAATAATTTTAAATAATACAAACTATCTTGGATGAACCAATAATAATACATACTTTAGTGTAGAACAAAAACAAAATATAATGGAGTCACTTTTTTTAAAAAAATCACTAATTTAAGACATTAAAAACTAATATTGAACCAATAAATAATATTCGAAAATACGCTTACTAACTTTATATTTTGATACCAGTTTTTTATGAATTAAATGACTAATGTTTTAGTAAAGAATCGGTATGTATTAGTTTTAGTACTATTTATGTTGTTTTCCCTTAATATGCAGGATAAAAACAAAAAGGGACGCCTAAGGGGTCTGCCACTGTTAACTCCCTAATAACTCGTAGATTATTTTGCTTCTAATAAATTTGACTTAAGCCTATTTTGCCGTTGGGATTGCGGAGAGAAAATGCTAACCATGAGAAATAAAAAGAAACAAGTACATTAAATTAAGGATTAATTTGAAAATTATAAGTATTTGAATTTTATTAGTAGCAGTTGTTCCGTGGTGCCGTGGTGGTTGCTTTTTGGATGTGGAAGTTCTAGGTAAAAAAGACATTTTTGTTCACTCCTCTCTTTTTACTCCTATAAATGTTCTAATTCACATGTATATTAAATTTACACTTCTGCATTGTTTAAGCGTCTACTTTGGAATGAAATTAACTCTCTATTTTTTAAAAAAAAAAAATACTTTTACTACATTTCTTTTTTTTGTTTTACTGCATTTCTTGAAAATCCAAAACCATATTGCTGCAGTTTTTACACTAGGAAGGTTTTTGACATTCCAAATTATGTTTTGAACATATATACGAGAGTATCTCCACCAATTAGTTAATTTCCTTTATAGCTTAACTTGTAACATAAGCATGTGTAGCAAAGTTATTTTCAAGGTAAACGGTATTTAATTTCACCAGTTGGCTATAACTTCTTACTTCTTCATCTTTCCTTATTATTAATAATACTGTATTGAATAATTCTCTTTCTCCTAGTAGCTTCTTTTGGGGATATTTTCATTTGGATTGATATTTTCTGGTCTAGTCTGTTAAATGTTTTGTCTTTGTGTATTTTATTATAACTTTTAAAGTCTATTCTGGTCTATTGTGATCTAGTCCAGTTTGGTCTGGTATGGTTTGAGACTGAAAATAGTCCAAATAAAAAACATATTTATCTTTTCCAGCAAAAGGAAAAGGTTTGCTTCAATAGTAAACTATTATCTCTAAAATTGCAAGGAACTCTTTCAAATAAATCATTGAAGATGCTCTTATAGTCCATCGTCAAGGTTTTTGCTTAAATACGGAGTATTACTTAAATAAAAGTGACGGACGAAAATATGACTTAAATGACTACAAGTATATAATCAAAGTAGTCATTGCAATGTAAATAAAAACATCATCATGGTCACTAAAGTTACCATTATAGTCCCTAAAGTACATAAAGTCACAATTTGTCAATTACCTTATTTTAGTCATTACATTTGTCATTATTTTTAATTTTAATGACAATAACCATTGTTATTTAAAAACTAAAACCATATAAAAGAATTAATACAATTTTCTTAAAATAATAACAGGAGTTGTATATTTCCTTATTAATAAGAGTATAATTAATTATTAGTTTTCCCTGTAAGATACTCCCTCCGTTTCTGAAACAAGTTCCACATTTGACTTCACACATATTAAGAAAATAAATTTGACTTTGCTGTGGAGTGCACTGTTTGGTACTATTTGTCACTGTTTGAACACTGTTTGACACTGTTTTAATGTAGATAATTTGCCAAATAAGGAAATGTTTGAAAGTGGAACTTAATTTTGAATCTGCCTGAAAAGGAAAGGTGGAACTTGTTTCAGAAACGGAGGGAGTACTTCATAAAAAATAATTAGTTCTCTTAAAAATTTTAGATAAAAATGAGTTAGCCAAAACATAAGAAGTAAAGATTAAAAATAATTGATATGTGTTTCTCATTTATTTTCAAAAAGTGACATTTTACATTTACTAATAAAATTATCTTTGAAATCAAGCTTAAAATAGGAGAAGTATTCGCAAATATGAATTGAGATTTTCAAATTAAGGAATTGATTACATTTTATTTTTGAATGTATTAATGAAATTACGAGTTCATTAATGTTGTGTGATTCTCATAATTAAATACTAATTCTTTTCTTAATAAATGCAACATGTTTAATTTTTCACTATTGCATGTTCTACTTTGATTATATTTGATTTTTTTAATGTATTAATAAATTATTTTTAAAAAAAAAATATTGATAAATTTGTATCATAATGATTTTCAAAATTTAATTTTTCTAATTGTTTTACTAATAGTGAATTAAGTATACTAATGGTCTGAATTAAGTATACTAAAGGTCAAGGTTGTGTATCAGAAAACTTAAAAAGTGAACTTTGCACTTATTTAAGAACATAGATAATATAAAATATACTACCTCCATATTGTTAAATACTCCCTCCGTTTCTGAAACAAGTTCCACATTTGACTTCACACATATTAAGAAAATAAATTTGACTTTACTGTGGAGTGCACTGTTTGAACACTGTTTGACATTGTTTGAACACTGTTTGACACTGTTTGACATTGTTTTGATGTAGATAATTTGTCAAATAAAAAAATGTTTGAAAGTGGAACTTAATTTTGAATCTGCTCGAAAAAGAAAGATGAAACTTTTCAGAAACGGGGGGAGTACTTCAGTAATATTTTTTATTTTAGTCATAACTTTCGATTATACCCATTATTATATTTTCGTTATGATAAGAATAGACAATGTGGATGATATATCAACACAAGCCATCATATTGCAAGACAATTCCAACGACCCAAACCTAGTCGTGGTCGCGTTCAGGGGAACAGAGCCGTTCAACGCTGACGATTTGCGGACGGATGCGGACCTTTCCTGGTACAAGATCGAAGGGGTGGGCAGAGTCCACGTCGGGTTCATGCAGGCTTTGGGCTTACGAAAGAACAACGTTCGGCCCAACAGGATAGAAAGAGGCACACACATGACCAAACTCGCTTACTACGAAATCAAGGAGAAGTTGAGAGAAATTCTCGCTGTTAACAAGAATGCGAAATTTTTATTGACGGGGCACAGCTTAGGAGGGGCATTAGCGATTTTATTCGCAGCGGTTCTGACCATGGAGGAAGAGGATGGGCTTTTGGGCCGGCTGGAAGGGGTTTACACTTTTGGGCAGCCCAGAGTAGGGGATGTGGAGTTCGGTGAGTTCATGGGGGAGAACCTACTGAAGAAATATGGGGTACGTTATTTTAGGTATGTTTATGCAAATGACATTGTGCCTAGGGTGCCCTACGATGATCAGGCTAACTTCTTTAGTCACTTTGGTCCTTGCCTTTACTACAACAGCTTCTACCACGGCAAGGTATCTACTACGTACTCTAGTACTCTATTTCTACAAATTAAAGGTGTTTGCTTTATATTCACGTATAATATACATCACTTAATCCCAATACCACAAGATTACATTTATTGGAGAAAATAATTGTGGGTATTCCCTTGATTGAGGCATTGCTGTAGAAAGCATAATCCATACAAAAAATATTATGTTTGATTATTTACAACTCTATCAATTTTCCATCATTTGTAATGGAGCCAAAGATTCATTATTTTTTGGCTTGAAGCTTCGAATTATGATGGAATAAAGCAAAATGGCTCACTGAACTGTCTGCGTTTCTTTGTTATGGAGCAGCAGTCAGTCCATGCAATTTTGGACGCGATTTTCACTATGGGTCATCCGAAAACAGTCTCTATGTGCTTTAGTACAGGGATAAGACTGTGTACATCTGACCCCCCTTATCCCACCGTAGATGGGAGCTTTTGCGCCACTGGGTAAATGAAAATGATGATGATTTACACCTCTATCAATAAAAAAATCAGTTTCATTTTTGGAGACAGCATTACGTGGCCAAACTTCAAAACACAAAACGGATTAATAATTATACACAAATGACATCAATTGTACTTGATACTAATCACAGGTCACAACCAATAACAGCATTACCAGTTGTACACAACTAATAGTCATTAGTAAATAGTAATAGCATCTTTCATTCGTTCTCGGTCTCCAGACAGAGCGCAATTAAAGAAAAATATTGTTCTACAACATTACACAATATCTGTCAGTCGATTAGAGATATAATAGAATAAGGTAGATGGTCATTTTTAATGATCAGCATACAGTTAAGTTAATAATAATCCAACATTCGGAGTGATCTTAATGTTGGCATCTGTATGCTTGTGTTATGAGTTATTTGTCATGAAGATCCTACAACTACTGGGTCTAATGCAGGTTCGTGAGGAAGAACCTAACATGAACTACTTCTCAATGTTGTGGATGATTCCTAAGAAGGTCAATGCAGTTTTTGAGGTGATGAGGGGATTTATGCTTCCTTGGATATTCGGGGAAGATTACAGAGAGGGGTGTGTCTTAATAATATGTAGGATCATAGGGATAATGTTTACCGGATTAATTGACCATGGGTTTCAAGATTATGTTAACCTCATCCGATTAGGAACGCCACCTGCATCACTTCATTTCCCAGAACCGGCTCAACAGCAATGTCTTAAATGTGATTGATCTACAAGATTCATAGATATACTTCCATCAGATATAATTGGTAAGGAATTGTTTTACCTCCTCTTGTTTGCTTGTTACATTTTTATGTTTGGGAGAATTGATAAAATATATCACTGTTCAAAACCATTAATATATACAAATTACGTACTATACCCAATCCGTAGACACTTCTTTGATTCCTGATAGGAACCTATTAGTATAATAATAATAATAAAATAATGTTACATAGTTTCTATTATGTTAAAGGGGGTCTAGGCCTGGTACTAATTGTGTTATGGGCCGCCCGTAAACAAAGTATTATAAATAGTAGCTGGGAATAGAATAAAGGTAGGCAGATTTTAGAATTGGGAAATTGGGATCTGGGAGAGTTGAGGCCTCTCGAAGCGCCTCGCCTGTATCATCTTCTTCCTTTCTACTGTTTTACAAGTTACAAAATTAGAGTTCCTATCAATGGCATCAGAGCAGTCTAGCCTGGGAATTTTCGATCTACATTCACGCGATAAACAAATGGAGCAGCGCAGGAAACAGGTGGATAAGCGCGAATATGGAGAACATAAGGTGTCCGTCTCCGTTTTGCGCGCGAACATGGAGAAGCGCGTGTCTACGCAAGAGAGGATGGAACCGCATCGAAGATCCGATCAGGATGCCTCTCGCGGAAAAGTGGGGAAGTCCGAAAACCTGGAGAATGGCTTGAACAGTGAGAAGCGGGCGAAGAGCAAGGAAAAGAGCACGCCATTTCCTGGAGGCAGAGAATCGGTGATCGCCTCTGGTTTGCCAGCGAACATTGAGGAGCTTGTGTCTACTCATGGCGGAAAGGAACTGCGCATGGAGCATGGAAGATCCGATCAAGATGCTTCGCGCGAAAAAGGAGAGAAGTTGGCGGAAAAGGTTGAAAGTGATTGGGCTAAGAAGATGCGCCATATGTTGGGCAAAATTCGTCACAGACTTAAGCGACATAGAGACAGAGCTAGGAGCCCTCCTAGACACCGTCGGCCGATTGAAAATAATCATGTGTCTTCGTCCATTACTATTCCTAGTTCGCAATCGCGAACTGCATCAGGTAGTTCGTGGACATCTTCGCAATCGCAAGTCTCTTCTCCGTCGCCAGCATTTCCGTCCAGTTGTCTGGCTTCTTCTCGATTTTCATCTCAAAGCTCGAAATCGCGAACTTCTTCGCAATCGCAGTCTACCAGTTTGCAGGTCTCAGTTCGCAGGGCTCAAGTCCCGCAGGAGTTTGATAGTGCGCGGCAACCTTCCTCTACAGATAGGTTTGCGTCCAGATCCAGAGAAAATGGAGAGAAATTCACCGAGGGCAACGATGAAAGGCAGAAGAAATCGCCAGCAGAGTCTCTCACTTCACAAGCTTCACAGCTCGGTTTGAAAGTCATTAATCTGCGGCAACCTTCCTCCGACGCTAAGAGTGCTTCGCAATTTGGAGAAAATGCAATGAGTGCTTCGCAATTTGGAGAAAATGCAAAGAAGTTCACTGAAGGCGACAATGAAAACGAGGAGAAATTGTCAGTGGTCGCTGGACCTGAAATTGGCCCAACTGCAGTTCCTGTTTCTCTTGGATGCCCAGCTTCTGATGCTTCTAAAGGTTCTATGGAATTCTCCAACAAGTTTTTTGGTAGAGTTCTCCCTGTCACTTCTCAAAATGTTAATAATTCTAATGCTTCACAAGGACCTGGTCAAAATCTTCACCACATTATTGAGAATAGGCTACAGCCAAACACAGAGGGTGCAGGAGTGCAAAATATGAGGCTGTTTGGAGGTATTATTACAGTACCAATTGTTTGTGATATGAAAAGCAATGAACTCTGTTCCTTTTTCATACTGACAAACCCCAGAGAGTTGCAATTTTATGAGAACATTTGCTGCTCTACCAAGAAACCTGAGCAAGAGAACAATCATTATGTTCTCCAGAGTTACAGCATACCTCTTTCTGAAGAGAATCTGGTGAAACCGGATTGTGGACAGCTTTGTTCAAAAGGGGTGATGAAGGGTCAAGTAATGAAGATCATGGTCCAGAAATTCGAGATGTATTGGGAAGGAAGAGGTGCCAGGATGAAGATGAAGTCGGAAGTTAAGGGTGTTTCCTATCACCCACCTTGAGGACAAGGTGGTTGTCTAAGGGGGGAGATATGATAGGAACCTATTAGTATAATAATAATAATAATAATAATAATAAAATAATGTTACATAGTTTCTATTATGTTAAAGGGGGTCTAGGCCTGGTATTAATTGTGTTATGGGCCGGCCCGTAAACAAAGTATTATAAATAGTAGCTGGGAATAGAATAAAGGTAGGCAGATTTTAGAATTGGGAAATTGGGATCTGGGAGAGTTGAGGCCTCTCGAAGCGCCTCGCCTGTATCATCTTCTTCCTTTCTACTGTTTTACAAGTTACAAAATTAGAGTTCCTATCAATTCCTCAATGACATATGATTATACCCAGGGCTAGCCCTAGGGGTGCAATCAGGGCGATGGCCAAGATCCTTAAAAGTAGAAGAAAAAATAGGCCCAAATGCCCAATAGTTACTCCTTATGTAGTTATGTTTGCTATGAGTAGCCTTTTTTGCTTATTAGTAAGAATAGGTTTTTTTTGTTTACTATTCTTATTATGAAGTTATTCTTGTCATGGAATACGCCCATAACAGAGTATGGCCCATAAACCTTGATATAGACAAGACTAACTCTACATGTGCTAATTGGGTAGGTTCTTTTTCACGATACAAGATCCTAAAGAAACGACTAGAAACCATCACTTTTTCACCAGTTTGTGACAAATGATCAACATGGCTAGGCATTACAACACGCAAAGTTTAGACCTTAAAGAGTTATTGAAAACAAAAACACAATTGCCAAAATAACATTAAAAATAGTCTTAAAGATGTTACCTGCAGAATTAGGCTCCATGTGCAAGCAGAGATAGGATCAGAATAACTAAAATGCATGGCATGTAAAGCAGCCACCAAATGAACCCATATGATGAGTCCGGCTGAGAGTTAACGCCCTATGAGAGAACGTTACATCTTCTTGATTCTGACCTACCAGCATCGAGGTTCTCATTTCTGCTGCCTTTTTCTGTGCAGATCTTAACTTCTTCATGATCTTATCCATAGACGTTGATCTTTTCTTCTGCAGCTTCACCTGAACAGCACTGATATTGTCAATTTGTCATTAGCCTTTTGGCATAGGAAGTTCTAATTTCACTCTCCTTATGTGATTTAAATTCTTACTTGAATAGAGTTTGAAAAAGTAGATTCCACATTTTAGTAGATGTAAACAGGACAAAAGTCAACACAATCAATGTTGCTTTTTTAAGTGTACCATTCATTATTGTAATAACTTTTCTATGCTTTTGCAGAAATTGTATTTACATTTATTAATATTATTAATTTTATTATTTTAATTGTGGTGACTATTCATGATATACATGTTACACTACAAAAGGAGAATCGAAAGTTAAATATTTGAGAAAATCAGCACACTAGGAGTTAAACAAGGTACAGGTGCAAAAATACGAGAAGATGATTAAAACTCCCAAAATAGGAATAAAAAGTAGTGAGTGGACAAAAATGCCTTTTTAGGGTTTGAAGGCAAGCTGCCTCCGACCGCCGCCAGACCTCTGCCGCCAGAAATCAGGCGGATATCCGCCATTGCAGGAAGCACGGAATCAGTAGGACCACCACTGCCGCCGCCCGGCAGCCACCACTGCCGCCGCCCGGCAGCCACCACTAAAACATAACTGGGATTGGTAAACCCTAGAGAGGCTAACACTAAACCGTAAGGCGATAGGTGAACTTTAAGCTCTAAACCTAAGTTACCTAACCCTAAATATTAAGGTGTAAAAAGGTAATTCGAACTCTTATTTTGGGAATTTAAAACATGCTTCCTACTTTGGCACTTTTACAATGTTTTGCTCCTACAAAACAACAACATTACCCCAGTGCCGCAAAAGCTCCCACCTATCGTGGGGTAAGGGGGTCGGATGTACGTAGTCTTACCCCTGTACTAAAGCACATAGAGAATGTTTCCGGAGGACCCTGATGAAAATTGCGTCCAAAATTACAATGTTTTGCTCCTGCTTGGGAAATTTCTTTTAAAATTTCAAAAAGATATGTAGTATTTTTTAAAACCTTAGTTGGCATTCTTGTTCAAGAAAAATCATAACAAAGTTGAATCAAGACATTGATAGAATTGAACAAAAACCTCAAATTTTTGGATTGCTGCCTCCGCTTTTGCCTTCTGCAAGTTCTCCCAGGCAGTTATCCTTGCTTCTTCCCTCTTGACTCTAGAATATATAGCAAAAGAAAAATGAAACAGATGACATTTTGGGTATATATAATACTATCGATATGACTATATATTATTAAGAATTTAAACCTGATCAAATACATTTTAAATGTGTACCCCCTAAGGGTGTTTCTTAAATGAATAGGAAAAAAAAAATTAGCACACGTGTGAAGACATCCAAAAACAAATTACCATCAAATCTATCTAGCGGATAGAAACTGGAAAGTGAATATATAAAAGCCATCATGAGAATCTGCATAGAAATGTAAAAAAAAATGTACGTTGACATGGGCATCATTGTTTATGTTTTTACTGTTTATATTTATTGAGTTTTGTAGCATCAATGTTTCTTGATTGCATCTTAAAAATGAGCTTGCTAGGTAGTAATCCACTAACGAAAAAGCTTGATTATACACTTACTGGGATAAACAGTTTGCTGTTTTTGAAATTTCCTGACCATAAGAATGCACTCCTATTGCAGCATTACTTTTCCAATAATCAAAAATATCCACACTCGCCCCTGGAATTCGAATCCTGTGTTTCTTTCTCCACCTTGTCAGAGTAACCTGCTCATCTAAGACATTCCTCGTATCTTCTTTTGGTGAATGGAAACACTGAACTTCAGTAATTGGTAAGATGGATGATCTTGTAGGAGGAGGTGATGAGCATCTTTTTGGAGATGATGGGTTATGCCCCTCTGGGATCATTTGAGCTGCCATATGACCCATATCCTTTAACGCAATACGAGAAATGTTGGTATCCACAACTTTTTTGGAGTCACTCTCATCTATATATCAAAATGGAAACACAAAGTTCGCTGATCAATTTCCAAACTCAGAAGAGAAATTATAGAAATTGCATTCCAACTTTTTACATATCTAACGTTGTGTTTGGTGTTAGTAATGGAAGTTTTAAGTATTGTTGCTCTTAACACTTGTTTTGGAGAGAATTAAAAAAAAATACCAAGGTGTTAATAAGTGTTTAAGGGTGTTAGCCATAACCTTCCCAATACCTTAACGTATCATTTTTAACATCCCAAAGTGGGGTGTTTTGAGGTGTTGGATAACCTTTGCCCTTCTCTTTAATTAAAAAATATAATACTCTCACTCCTTCATGTCTCCCTTGCTACTGTTGTAGTGTTATCCCTCCTCTGTCATTGACTATTAAGGTGTCTTGCCTTGCGACACTTCCATTACTAAGAGTTCATTATTGTAAATCTCCCAAATAAGGTAAGTTTATATCTTACACTTACCTTACCTTCCTTACATCTGTCTACACTTCCTAACACTTCCATTACTAACACCCTTTGACACCCCATCCAAATAGAGCGTAAAGGTCAATGAATCTAAGATAACAAGTATTCCCAGTAGAGAGGAGAAGAAAATTGAGAATTCAATAATTGTGTACTTATTACACAATTGAATGAGGCATATGTTCAAGAATTCCAATATTTAGCAAGATGAATGACGCTTAAGATATATTATATGTACAAAGGGTAACTAAAAAATGTTTTGTCCTTTCATTAGCTTCTGGCATTAGCCATAAATATAACGCAGCTTATCCCAACAAAAAAGAAACACTAACTGGATAACTACAACATAGACTTGTACCTTGAAAATCAGACAATGACGATATGCAGAAAAGTTCAGGGCATCCGTTGACACTAATTGACCTTGTGATAGGCAGGTCATTGCATGAATCTAAGGTTGCACCAATGCCATGACCCCCATATTGAATTGATAAACCATCTACATCCATCACTCCAGTTGAAGAGGGAGAACTAGCTTGTAAATAAGCACCCTTTCCTTCCTCAGATGTAAGCTCTTTTGGAGAATATAAATCAATAACAGGAGTGCGAAGAGGTCCACTCTTGGATTTCACAGCACCATCTCTCGATATTGGACTGATGATCCACCTCTCAGCATCAATCCACTTGGAAGGCAAGGTTCTACCATTACTTTGAGGCAGAGTTTTTGTATTAGAATCTCTCCTATCAATTATAACTGGTTTCTTCCTATGTCCATACTGAGGAGATGAGATGCATGCATGACTAATGAAAGAGTTTTTCGTATCTACCGAATCAGCTCCTTTCATATCTGGTTTTTTTAATTTAGCTTTGGATCTGGACCGCCTATCTTGACATTCTAATGAAAAATTAAGAACATGACAGGTTAAGCACAGATCCAGAATACATCAAGTTAAGATTATGATATAAAAAATTGCATTAAAGTTGCATACCTTTAAGAGCCTGAGAGAAGGAGGTTGATGCCAAATCAAACAATAAATCTGTGTCCCCTATCTCAGCAATGCCACTATCTTCTTTGTTAGCTGGAACACAATTATACAATATTACAATGAAGTTCACAAGTGATAAGCCACTGATGATAGCACTTAGCAAGTTTGAGTGTTCCTTCTCAATTTCTTAAGGATTCTAAAAGCAAGTTGAACAAAGATAGAAATACAGAACTACCTTTGGCCTTTGCATTTCTGCTAAGGTAGACAGTCTTGTGCATGACATGTTTGTTTGGATCTGAAACTGTACCACCTGAAGCTTCGCAGTAAACATGTCTTGCCAAACCCTGGTTCAAATAAAGTATTCAAACTCAAGACAAATTTTCACAGTTTTTTAGTACAAATTTTGCTATACAGCTATTTTCTCACTTTCATGACCTCCCTTGTTTAGCAGAATAAGCATTTATTACCAGGGTTTTAAATTGCGGAGCGCAACGCAGCCGCAATATTGCGGTTGTGGGTGGCACCACAACCATATCGGGCCGCAATGCGGCAAGATTCTGATTCACAGAAAAATTCCGTAATGTAAGTAATATAACTGCAACAGGGCTGCATCGAGACAGCAACACACTAATTTAAATTTTTCCTTATTTGGTAGAATGAAAAATCAATTAACGCAGCACAGGCCTCAACCTCAACAGCAATTTAAAACCCTGTTTATTACCGAACTCATACGGCAGTGAGAGTATTTCTACGAAATTGGAGCTCATCTATTCAAATCACCACTGGCTATGATGATACTGATTGCAGTAATTTACACAGATTGAAAAAAAGCGGCCATCCATAATGCATTGGATACATAATTGAATATGCTAGTGATACACATACATTCCTCTTCTTTGCTCTTTACTGAGTATTTAATAGTCATATGATCAGTGAATAGTCCGCAAAAAGGCTAAAATAAATGGAGATTACAGTTTGAGAACCACGGTTGAAAGAGCTCTCGATGTCAGCTGCGAAAGAAGAACGATCAATACTGGCAGGAGTAGAAGAAGAGAAGAGGCTGAAGTTGGAGTCGGTGGCCAAAATGACGGAATCCGGGCTGATTTCTCGAGCTCTGTCTTGCGTCTGATGCTGAAAACCTAGCTCTGCCATTTTTAAATCGCCCGTGTCATTGAAGGCCTGAAACTAGTAGCTAGTGTTTGAGCGGGAATGAGCGTAACTGAAGGCTTCTTCTGTTATTTCGGAATCAAAGATACGAAGTAGAAGATTTTGACAGAAATGACATGAATATCAACGATAAAAGTGGTGAAGAAGAAGATGATGATGTCGTAATCATACTCATAATCATGATGAAGGTTGCTGGATTCGCGTTTTGGAGACGTTACCAACTGCGTTTATATTGTGCAGTGACTGAATTTTTTACTCGGCCCGAAAGTCATCAACTGTCACAGTAAATGTGTAACCAAACTCACCTGACTGTACGTCTATGCTCATTTAAGTCCCGATAGTGATTTTTCTATTAGAATTATTTTTGCCGGAAAAAGTTTGGCACAAGCCCGTGAACCCTGTTTTCCGTGCAAATTATTAGATCATCTTATTACAGTTTGCCAGTAGTCTAGTACTCTACGACATCCTTTATGACCAAACTTTTTTTTCACCCTGTTTGTTCGAAGTATTTGTATATTTTTGAATTTGTTACTCCCACCTTACTTGAATTAATTTTCGAAGTACATTTAGCATGAGATTTAGATAATAGATATTGCGTAATTCAGAGTTATATAGAGAAAAGACATGTGTAAGAATGTGTAAGAATTGTTCAAAACAATAAATTCTTTATCAAAAAAGGAAAGTGAAAATTTATTTTGGGACGTCTAAAACGGAACGTTGGAAGTTTAATCAAGGACGGAGGAAGTACGACTTTGAATTTGAAATCACTTTTAACCCATGTTTTTAATAATCTATAGTATAGGGAATTCTTTGTAATTTGATTATTCTTGATTTATTATAAAATATATCATAAGCGCACCCTATTAGGGTGAGCCATTATTCCCTAATCATTATTTCATATGGTGTCAGTTGCCTAGGTTTACCCTATCCTCTCTCACGTCTTCCCACCATGACAGTCGTCGACTCCATAGAAGGTTCCTCCTCTTCTGCCGCTCTGTTATCTTCTACGGTGGGTCTGAGTGTAGCACCCGCTTCTCCATCGATGCAGCCCTCAATATCGACGCAGGCAGCTTCTTCCCTTGATCATGTTCGTCCTCATCAAGGTCTGCAAGTCCCTCCCCCACTCAACATATATCGTTTATTTAACATGTCAGATCCGTTTACATGGACTCCCACGTCGGTCTTCGCTTCTGCGCCCTCCTCCGTTGTCGTACATGCTTCCTCGCCATCAGCAATTTTTTCTGGCGCTATTGTTGCTCGCCCGACTTCATAAGCAACCTTTTCAGGCTCCACCTTTTCTAGACAACTGGGTATAGCCCCTCTGTCGCGGCCTGAAATCAACAATATGCTAGGTTTTTCGCATCCACCTTCTTTTTTAGCATCCCTGGCCTCACAATTCGCGTTTTCTACGCCTAATGTTACAAACATTGTTGCTACCCCATTGAGTGCGGTTGAGGATTATCTCTCGTGGTGTACTCAACTCGAATCCTTTCTAGTCTCCCTTAGTCTTTTTGGGATGCTGGATGGATCTGTTTTGCCTCCGCCACAATTTATTTCTGATTTTACTAGACGGGAGTATCCTAACCCGGAATATCATCATTGGTTGAAGATTGACAAGGCCATTAGATCATGGTTGTTAGCTACGCTGTCCAGAGACATCCTTATGGAGGTTCATCACCTCAAAGTTTTTGCCCGCATTTGAGAATGTTTACAAACACGTTTTATGTCCACGTGTCTGGCCAGATCTTTGGAACTTAAATGAATGTTGTCTCGTGTTAAGAAGAAAGAATCCCAGACCATCGATCAATATCTTTTGGAAATTGAAACTATGGCGGATTCCTTGAACATGATCAATTCCCCGATTAGTAATAAGGATTTAATTGAATATACTATTCTGGGTTTGGTCCAGATTATGAGTCCTTGATTACTGTTTTGATATATTTTCCTGAACATGCGAATCTTGAAACATTACATCCTATTCTCCTTGCTCAATAGCAACGTAACTTGTTTCTCCGTTCTCAAGAACCACCGGCAGCGTATCAAGCGTTTGTGGCTGCTCGTGGTGGAGCGCCTGCGGATAGAGGGGGTGCTTCCCGCGGCCAAGGTGGTCGCCATCCTACCAACTATGGTCATCGTGGAGGAAGAGGTCGCGGACAGCGCGGGCATGGTTGGGGATATGGTGCCAGTTATCCGCAGCAGTAGCAAGTAAATTATGTTCCTCACTTTCAGCAGTCACTCGGTCAGTTTTATGGACGGCAGGGTCACAGCCAGCAGCCATATGAGGCACCTCGTGGACAATTTGCAGCTGGAAATTCAGGTACACTATTAAGTAATGTACAATCGGGTTATTCATACTTTAATCATTCATCTACGTGTGCTACTAACCAATTTAGTGCAGGTTTTCCATCTGTAGATAACACCTACTCACATGTTCCCCATTCGGAAGTTTGCGAAATTTGTTTTTCGTCAGGTCATTCTCCTCTTACATGTCCCCGTTTCACTTGCTCTTCTACTCCGGCTCTGGCTGCTATTCCCTCGGGTGAATCTAATGCTTCGGTGTGGTATCCAGATTCGGGTGCCTCTGCTCATATGACTCCTCACGAAGGTATTCTCTCATGTAAAACTCCCTACATTGGCTCTAAAAATGTGCAAGTTGCTAATGGTACTAAATTACCTATTTCTCAAGTTGGTAGTGTCATTTTACGTACTCCTGGTCGCCCTCTTGCTTTAAACTCCGTTTATCATGTCACACACCTCAAATATAATTTACTTTCCATTCATAAATTGTGTGTGGATAATGATTGTACGGTGATATTTAATAAAAATTCTTTTATATTAAGGACAATCAGACGGGGTGCATCTTCTTCAGGCTTCCGATAAAGACCATCTTTATCCATTCCATGCTCTGTAGAATACCCTTGTTTCGGGACCTATTTGGCACAAACTTTTGGAGCATTGTGGTGACATATTTTTACACACACTTCGTCAAAAACAATTTATTTCTACTAGTATAGTTTTCAGCATAATTGTGTTTCTTGTAAATTGGGTAAATCTCATAGACTTCCATTTCAGGATGTTATTCACTCTTGTATTGCTTCTTTAGAACTTATTCACTCATATGTTTGGAAATCGCCTGTTTTATCTAATCTTAGTTATAAATATTATGTGTCTTTTATTGATGATTTTTCTCGTTATGCTTAGGTTTATTTCATGTGTTGTAAGTCTGAAGTTTATCATCATTTTTGTAATTTTCACAAACTACTTGAAAATCTTTTAGGTAGGAAATTTAAATCTTTTCAGAGTGGTGGGGTGGTGAATTTGACAATGCCACTTTTCACACACATTTATTTAACCCTAGCATTTTATTTAGGAAATCTTGCCTTGACACTCCTGCTCAAAATGGTACGACTGAACACAAGCATACACATCTTCTTGAATTAAATAGGACTATGTTAATTGAATCGTCTATTTCTCATAGTTTTTGGGTTGATGCTCTCTACACAGCTACTTATATTGTAAATCGCTTACCCAGCTACTTACAAAAGTAATTTAACTCCTTTTGAAAAACTCTTTAATAAATCTCTTGATTTCAATTTTCTTCATGTTTTTTGTTGTGCTTGTTTTCCTAATTTTATTTTCAAATCTTCAAATAAACTGTCACCCCACTTCATTCAGTGTGTTTTTCTTGGGTATGCTTCGGGTTACAAAGGATATCCTTGCTTATATCCTTTATCGGGTAGAGTTTATATTAGTACAGATGTTCCTTATTCCCGTCTTATTTCCTCTTCTACTGGACCTGCATAGAACACTCCTGTTTACCCTCTTCCTGGCCAGTAACTTCCCCCACACCCAGCCCGGCTATTCCTATTTTACCTCTCCTTCGTCCCATACGCCCAGCTCCAGCCCTTTACTTTCCGACGCCAACAGTCCTTCCCAGACAGCTACTCCCTCCTCCAGCCTTAGTCCATCTCATAACTCACCCTCTTCCACTCCACTCTCCACCTCGGCACCTGCCAGGGCTGCCACCCCATGGCGGACGAATTTAATGCATTACTTGCTAATAAAACATGGGATTTAGTACCTTGGGACGACACTAAAAATGTAGTTGGTCGTAAATGGATTTACAAGACAAAATATAATTTTGATAGGTCTGTTGAGCGTCACAAAGCTCGTTTGGTTGCCCAAAGGTTTAAGCAACAGGCCGGTGTTGATTACACTGAAACTTTTAGTCCTGTTGTCAAACCCACCACCGTGCGTCTAGTTCTATCTATTGTTGTTTCTCTTGGGTGGTGAATTCGTCACTTGGATGTCAAAAATGCATTCCTTTAATTTATGGTAATCTTACATAGGAGGTTTATATGGTCAGCCTCCTAGGTTAATTCACTCATCTTTGCTCATCATGTGTGTCACCTCGAAAAGGGTCTGTATGGTCTGAAACTAGGGTTGGCAATATCACCCGCACCCGCGGATACCCGGTCAACCCGAATCGAAAATATGGACTCAAACCCGAAGAAATATGGATGAAAAATGGATGATGGGTGGATTGAAAGACGGGTTGGATCGGGTGTGGATGAACTCTCATCCAACCCATCACCCGACCCGTCACCCGCTCCATCCACCCGCACCCGCTGACCCGCATATAAATATATATACATATATTATAATATCTATTTAATAATATATTAATAATAATAATAATAATTAATATTAATATATTAACAGATACTACGTATCAACGGAGTAGCATTGTAGCGACTAAAATAGGAGCCCAACCCTAATCCCGTTGAACTTCAAAAATAGTTTTATGTTGATGCAGAAATCTAGAATTGACAACTTGAAGAAAGTTTTTATCTATTTTGTTTGACAATTAGTTCTTTCTTTATCATCGGCAGTGAATTAATGATTGTAATATACTTAATTGCTCAAGTTTTTGTAGTTATTTTCAATGAGTTCTTAATTTTTGTCGTGATTTCTCTTTATAATTTATTTATTTTGTCTTTCATGTTTGACCTTTTGTATTCACCCGTTACTCACCCGATCCACCCGATAACCTGTTCATGATGGATGGGTTGGATGTGGATGTAAATTTTAATGGATGATGGACGGGTGGGTGCATTATGAAAAATTAACAGGTGGACGACAGATGAGCCTTCACCCGGTATAAATCTGATCCACTGTCTCCCCTATCTGAAACAAGCTCCACAAGCTTGGTTCATCGCTTTAGTGGATTTCTTTTGACTCACGGATTCTCTCAGAGTAAGTCTAATTCC